TCTGAAGGGTAGGCCTTCTATCATTCACCGATCTTACAAGTGGAGAAGCGACGTTGAAAAAGCTTTGGGTCTTCAAAAGCCACTGGTTTACCGATTCTTGCATTGCATCTGTCAATAGAGCAAAACTCGGTTATATAATATGTGTACAATGTAATGGTGTTTCGGGGTGGTTTAACAATGTCCCGAATAGCCATTTGCTTAAACAACCATTAAAATAAGCCCGATTGCAAGAAATTCAACTGCTGCAGCATCATTACAGCATAAAACAAGAACTAGGCATGTACACCAAATTAGCCCACATAACAAGTTTCTTAAAATGTCAACCAATTTGCAGAAAATGCTTGATTAATCCATAAAGTAGGAAACTTTATTCAAGTAGGAGAATCAAACTTCATTCTGACAAACAATCAAGAATATAACTAGGACTTGGAGTTTGAGTACTGAAAGCCCATCAGCACCAACATCGAGGTCATTAACAGAGAACATTCTTACCCCCAAACATAAGGAAAACACAAATGTAAAACTAAAAAGCCGAGAATAAAGAGAAATAACATTCTTGAACTCACTTGCATCAATATCGTTGAATGTCCAATTTTTGTCACCCAGCGCCTGGCTGACCAGCTTGAAGCCAAATTTGTTCTCATTCGTAGAATCAGAAGAAGAAACATTCTTCTCGCAGCAAGAAATCTTGAGAACACATTTCCTTTTACGATGTGGGATTGCGGAAGATTTAGGGGACGGCCAAACGAGGGGTGTTTTAGCTGGAAGTTTAAACACCATGTTTTCTTTTACAAAATTGGAATGGTTATGGAGATTCAAGATTTGATTTTACTAGTTTTCCCGATTCCAAGAATATAGGGGAGACGGCCATAGCAGAAAAATTATGACAAAAATGGAGTAGTAAAAATCGGGATATAGGCAAAGTTCGCTTTCGACTGTCGAGGCGCGGAGAGCTTGGATTGGTAAAATACGACAATAAAAATAAAGTTAGTAAAAAGAAGTGTAAGGCTGGAAATTTGTGTGTGGATTAAATGAAGTGTAAACTCCCTCGTTCTTGTTTTCATAAATGTCATTTTGAGAATGTACAATAATTAGACGGCGCATTTTTTATTTTATCTATTTTATAATTTGGGCTTAGTTCAATCTTATGTAGTCAACCACTTTATTTTTCAAAAATTACTCCAAGGGGGATTTTCGATTCTCCTCCGGAGGAGGAGTTCTCATTTGCTCTAATTTATTACTCATCAGGGGGTTTCTTGCGCTGGTTTTTTGTTTGGTTAGATTCTTGTTTGGGGTGGTGTGTGTTTTCTTTGGTTGGGGATCTAGGGTTTCGGAGCCGGGGAGTGTTGTTTCGGGTAGGAACCTGGTGGTTGTTGTATCCATGGGGTCAACGAGTGCTGGGGGGTTTCAGGAAGAACTCAGCAACAAATTAAAAATATAGCCCTATCGCAATCAGAAAGAGAATTTCTGGAGCTCAGAGAGGAGGACATCCGCCTCAGTGATGAAGAATGCAGAACAAGTCTCATTGGAAAAGTTATTGGAGAAAGGAAAGCGCATTTGGCAGGCATTAAACGGACTATGGGAGCGATTTGGCAAATCCAAAATTCTGTAGAGGTGAGGGAACTCAAAACCAATTATTTCCAATTTATCTTTGGATCCCTTGAAGACAAGACAAAGGTCATGACGGCATTCATTGGTTGTTTGAGAACCAATACTTGGTGCTAAAAGAATGGGAAGAAGGGCTCAATGAAAATCACCAGGCATTTTCGGAATTAAAAATGTGGATCCAGGTCAGTAACCTTCCTCTAAACTGGTTGTGCACAGATGTGGGTCTCAGAATTGGGAAAATATTTCTGAAAACATTAAATGTGGTGGTAGTGAAGGCTGGTGGTAATAGAGGTAGTTTCCTGAGAATTCTGGTGGTTGTGGATGTTTCAAAACCATTGTCTCGAGTGGTTAACCTTAAGCTCAACAACCAGAAAGTTACAGCGGTCATTCAATATGAAAAGCTTATTAATATGTGTCATTATTGTAGGTTTATTGGTCACCTGGAGAGATCGTGTGAGAAGAGGATGAAGGATATTGAATTAAATATGGTGGTGGAAGGTCAATATGGAGCCTGGATGAAAGCTCAGGATGGAAAACTCGGGGCCAAGATCTTTTTCAACACAAAGTCCTAATACCAACTCTCAAGAGTCACCTCCTCAATCAATAAATCAAAAGTAGGACCAGGGAAAATCAATTCAAGGCATAACCTCATCTGAAAGCAGAATTCGGAATAACATGGAAGAAGAGGATAGTAATCAAGGGGTTCTCCAGGCGGGACAGGAGTTGATGATCTTAGACTAATCTGGAAACAATTCTATGAGCAAAATAGAGGGAAACAATTCTATGAGCAAAATAGAGGGACTCAGCTCTAATCCTCGGGGCATTTCTCAAGTGCAGGGTGATTATGAGCCCACAAGTCCTAAGGGATTAGTGAGTATACCAGAAGAGGGATATCCAAAACAGCTGAAAATGGTGGAACAAGCTCCAGTTTCACCTAAAAGAAAGGGGTGGTCCAGAGTCAAAGGGCAAATAAATAGGCTGAAAAAGGCAGTCCCCGAACCAAGGTATCAAGATTGAGAGCAGTCTGAAAAGAAAGGAAATTTCTGAAACTACTTCAGGGGAAGTCCAAGAAGCTGAAATGTTGACAATTGCCCAAATATCAAAAAACTGAAAAAAAAACAAAGACAAGGTGGAGGTAGCCAGCCTGGATTGGCCCCAAGTTTCTAAATGAAGACAATCATGTGGAACTGTAGAGGTCTGGGTGGACCTTCTACAGTTTCCCTGATCAAGGATTCTTCTAGGATCCACCACCCCAGTTTTATTTTTATTTCAGAAAAAAAAAGAGAGTTTGTCCATACAGTTTGTAAAAAGTCAGGTTTCAAAGACAGATGGTTTGCAGTAGATCCTCTGGGAAGGAGTGGAGGGTTGTTTCTTGTGTGGGGAAGGGAGATTCAAATCATTCAAATCCTGGGTAATCAATTCTGTATTGAAGTGGAAGTGCGGGGAGAGCATGGCAGAGATAATTTCTGGGTGATATTTACATACATGAGAACATATAAGAATGTGAGAGAGCAGCAATGGGAGTTCTTGGAGAGTGCTAAGGTGAAATGGAGGAAATATTGGATAATAGGTGGAGACTGGAATACAGTGTGTGATTCAGAAGACAAAAAAGGAGGAAGGAAGAAGTCAGATGTTGATATGAGAGGGTTTAGAGAGTTTATTTCTAACATGGAAATGCAGGAAATCCATATGATAGGGAATCAATTTACTTGGGCTAATAACAGGGCCGGTGAAGGATCTATTGAGGAAAAGATTGATAGAATATTTGGATCTTTCCATTGGTTGGCCGATTTTTCCTTAGCTCAAGTGGAATCCATTTATCAAAGTGCATCTGATCACAAAATGTTGATTCTTTCAACTCAAGGGGCTGCTGCTAATACTGAGAAACCAAATAAAAGATTTTTCTTTGATAAGAGATGGCTCAAGATGGCAGGGATCAAAGACACAGTGACTCAAGCATGGTGTTCTAGCAAAACAGGGACTCCAATGTTTCAAGTGTCTAAGAAAATCAAAGATACCAGAGTAGCATTATTGAGATGGAGCAGATTTTTTTCAAAAGAACAGAGAAAAAGCCAAAATGGAGGTTACAGCCAGACTGGAGCATCTAAGTAAGCTGGGAAACAATAGAAATTGGGATGAATGGATAGCCTTGAACAAAGAGATGGAAAGCATTGTGAAAAAATAAGAGGAGTATTGGAGGCAGAAGGCTCGAGTAACATGGCTGAAACAGGGTGACTCAAATTCAAAATATTTCCATGCTTTGGTGATGCAAAGAAGATCTGAGAATGCTATATCAAGGTTGATCAATGATAGAGGAGGCTATTCATTACCTCAACAGGCACAACTATGGGGCTAAAGGGATCATGGCTGTAAAGCTGGATATGGAGAAAGCATACGATAGAGTAGAGTGGCAATGTATTCAGGAAATCATGACTTCTTTCTGGTGGAGTAAAGGGAAAGACCAAGAGAAGGGAATTCATTGG